AAGTGCGTAGTTCTTGACTTGAGGTGGTGCTGAGGTCTTAAGAAAAGAACAAGAAGGGGTGTGGGAGCTGGGACTTGGTGAGGGCATACTCTAGAAGGGAAATCAGACTGCAAAGCCAGGTTTAGAGAGAGTATCGGCAGGTGTTGCCTTGGGAAAAGCTCAATCGTGAGGTTAGAAGAGTGGAATTCGAGTCAGGAGTTTGGTGGGGAGGGAGCCAAAGTGTGTCCGGTTAAGTGAGAACCTGGGGCCGATGCAAGGTGGCAAGTCAAGAGCAAGTAACATATACAGTGTATGTGGATGGGTGCGGGCAAGGCTGCAAGCAGTAGAGTCAGCTTCTCGTGCTTGGTGAGTTCAATGGCCCTCAGCTATGGCTACAGCTGCTTTTATTCTCATGCTGTCACTCGGGTCCTAGGTTTGGGGATGGGAAGTTGTCTCCGTCCTTGAGGATAACCGTGACATCACCATAACACATGGCATCTGTCCTAGCACATGGGCAAGGGACATCAGTGAGGAGAGCCATAGAAAGGAGTGGTTGAGATCAGCGTCTCTGGTTATTTTTCAGCTGTTGTCAAATCAATTTCCTATTCATCTCAGAAAAGCAGAGCGTGCAGAATTTTTGCAGCCAAAAGAGGAAGTTTAGGATATTCCTGGAAAGGCTTGGTTTATTCTTTATTTCATAGAGTAATCAATATTAGTTATTAATGATTGTGCTGTATATTATTTTAAATTTGCATAAACTATCTAAATTGGTGTATAGTGACTATATAGGTTAGATAGAGATTAGATTTTAGGTGAGGTAAATATGCCTTATGGGCATTAATTTTCCTATAGTATCATTGTAAACAGCAGCAGAAGCAAGAACTGAAATAGAGCACTGTATTTTTGGATAGACATTTAGTTATTCCTCCCTTAATATTAAGCGACTACTTTCTGAGTGATACTGCTATGGAAATAAGTGTAGACAAAAATAAAATAAAAACACAGTTCTTCTCCTCATAGAACTTGTAATCTGAAGGTAGGGGTAGAGAGATGCCGGCACCCAGTACCATTTACAGAAGTAAATATTGAATCAAAAGTAAACATTGAATCACACTCACAGAGAGAATTCTGAAAGAGAGGTTCAGGCTAATCTGAGCCGGTGCGGGGTGAGAGAAGGAGTCCCTGGGGAAGTGGACACTGATTTGAGGCCTGAAGCGTTGATAGACAGCTGGATTATGGGGCTTGTGATAGGAAGTGGTGGTGCCACGGCACAAAGCAAAAGAGTTTGAGGCATTGCAGCACCTGGAATGAGACAAGGGTAACCATCACTGACAGAACGAATGTCAGGAGGTTGTGGGTTGTCCTGCTCACAGCAGGACTCAGAGACAATGCATTTTAAAAGTTACTATAACCTACTCATTTCGTAATGGAAAAATTTTGAAAGTTAGGGAACTACTTGCCATGTTAGAAGGATGTTACTTTTCATTTCTTTTGAATTCAAGGCTATAATGGCTTATTGCATTACTAAAACTTTAAAAACTGCATTAACTTCTGAATCTTCATGGGACAGAATAGCTATCAGTTTATCAGAGCTCTCACCAAGAGCAATCTAAAAGTCCAGATAAAATACACTATGGAAATTACTTATATGAAGAGAGCAAAGTGTAGTAGAGGCAATGAGTGAAGAGGCCAAGACTGTAGAGGACAGAACAGCTCAGACAGGTGGGCTGAGCCAAACACCTGCTTTTACCATAGTGATGTTTTCCAGCTCAGGGCCGAGAATTTATGTTCTTCACCAGTGTGTGGTGACATTGTGGTGAATTATGGGGTTTGGGGGTGAGAAATTAAAATTTTAAGCTTGAAAGCTTCTGAAATGCACAGAAGGGTTATCAGTAGTTTTATAAGTCAAAAATCAGAAGTCAGTCCAGATCAGAAAGTGGGTTAAGGATAACACTTCAGCAGTAGTTTCAAGTATAGGAAGGCTACGGTGACCCAAAAGTACAAACAATTTTACGAGGACTTTCAATGAGCCTTCACTACAAATAATCTGAATATGTTGAAGGAAGGAGTAACCTGTCTTTGGAGGAATAGAACATCCTTTGGAAGCTGCATTATTAAAAAATTCTCTACATTTCCAGAACTTAGTAGCAAAGTACTAAAAGTGCCAAAGGCTAAGATCATATAAAACTAAGAGAAAAAATATAGAATATATCCACAAATTCTACTGACAAGTCTTTTAAAATAAATATGGTTAAAGGTTCTAAGAACTGGAATAAAAGATAGTGTATGAGAAAAATCCATAGACAAAGTAGAATTTATAAAAAGAAATAGGTCAGAGATGTGTAAATACTGAATAGTCTCTCTTTTGTAACAAACTGAAAGTGTAAATAAGGATCGAAATGTATCATTGATAATGTGAAGTAGGAAGAAAAGGTCTAAAGGGTTAGGAAGAGTGGGAGGGGGAGGGGAAAGGAAAAAACATGAGAAAAGGAAGAAATAAAAAAGTCTTTGTAAGGAGGGAGGGGTGGAGGGGTTGAAGGGAGGGCAGGGAGATGGGGAAAAAATAAGAACCAAGATATATCATGTAAAGGTACAAGTTCCCAGTGATGAATGTAAGTGTACTGTATACCTAAAAGTGTACCAATAAACTTATGAAAAAAAGAGAAATAATTACGCATTCTAGGACTGCAAACATTTCCTATTTGGCATTATGAATACATTAGTTGGTTTTACAGCTGATTAGACACAATCAAAGATAAGAGTGTTGAATAGAGGCAGTTGAAAATATCCAAAAGTCAGCATTGGAAGTGAAAATGTATATAGAATTCAGCAAAATGTAGAGATAAGGGGGCAAGTTCTAGCATGACGATAGTTGAATTCTGAGAGAAGAGACTGAGATCAAACAATATTTACAGGAGTAGTATGGAGAATTTCCTAAAAGCAAGTAAAACCACTCTTAGTTACTTTCTCATTGCTGGGACAAAATACCTGACACCTACAAATTAGAGGAAAGGTTTATTTTAACTCACAGATTGTAGAGGTTTTAGTCCATACTTGGCTGGAGGCAAGGCAGAGTGATATAATAGAGGGGCATGACAGAAGCAAAATAATTTAGGGCAGGGCAGGCAGGAGGCAGAAAGCCTCTTTACATTCAATCCAGTGTACAAGCCTATTCGTTGGTGCCACCTAAAACCAGAGTGGGACTTCCCATGACCCACACCCAGAACCACATTAAACCAGTCAGTGGACTATTCTAGTTATCACAACCCTTAATGTATACTTATTCATTCTAGTTCCCACCACCTCTGTAAAGCCCCATTGATGAGCTCGTAAGGCTTTGCCGGAACATCTAGATAAAAGCCATAAAACAGACATCGACCCATATATTTAAGGAAAAAAAAAAAGACTCACCCTAGGAAGAATAGAGCAAAAAAGTTTGAAAAAGGTATACAACTAACCAAACACAAAGAAGATACCTTCAAAAAGCTAAAACAAAAGGAAACACAATATTAATAAAAGCAGTAACAGTAGTTTTGATATCCTGAAAGTTAAGATGGACTGAAAATAATTTTAGACATACAAAATGATATAACCCAGAAACTTGTGCTAAAAGAAATATTAAATTAAGTTCTTCAGCAGAAGAAACATTTTCTTGGAGATATACATAGATCTTCAGGAAGAAATTAAAGAGCAAAAGATAAGGACCCTAAATGGAAACTAGAAATGATCACAGTTCAAATATGAACTGTATAATAAAATAATAATAATGTATAGGGTTTAAGGTAGAGGCAGAACTAAAATGCATGAAACAGAAAAATGGAGGAATGAGGTAAATGGAATGAAAATGCTCTGAATTCCTAGCATTATAAGAGGAAGAAGAATTATTTTTGTTTACAAAGTGCACATTTGAAAAGTAACAGTCATAAAGGCTGCAAGGAAAAGGTTAGGAAAAAATACATGAACACTAAAACAAAAAATGCTCAAGTGTGTCAGAAAAAGATCTTAAAAAAGAATTATTATTGGAAATAACAAGGAATTCACACATTTCATAATGCATGTATATTTTTATTATGATTCTTACATTTAATGCAAATTTTGCAAAGACCATATAGCTGATTCTATTCATTTAACTAGGCAACAACTTTTGTCTTTTAATTTGTGCATCATTTGCATTTGATATTATTTCTGGTTGAGGTCATGTTTGATAAATTATCTTGATATTTGAAATCCAGGTTACATTGTACCGAGTGTCAGAATTCAATCAGAATTGTCCCAGAGCAAATAGATATTTCCACTACAAGTTTTCCAAGTGTTCAAATCTCTGTGTACACTGACATTCATCATCTAGCTGAGTTTTTGCCTCCAGGTTTTGCAGTAGTACAATAGAAAAGCAGAAACCAAGTCATACACAAGCACTCTAGCTGCAAAATGATCTATCACAGAAGAACAGAAAATAAGCATGGATACTGAGTGAGCTTAACCTGTAAGCTCTACTGTTACCCAAGCTGAGTGAATGGGAAAGTAAGAAGCTCAAAAAGAGGGAAGAGCAGCTTTCAAGATGTATTGGCATAGGGCTAGCAAGATAGTTTAGCGACAAGCATTTGTCTAGCGTATGCAAGGCCCTGGGTTGTATCTCCAGCTACACACACACACTCACACACACACTGAACCCCTTATTGTGCATCATGGAGAATCACTGTCACTCTCCTAAGGCCATATTTCTATATCGTAAGCAGAAGAGAGGCCATGAGTTGTGTGACATTGGAAACCTTCGCCACTGATTTATTCTGTCTAGGGCTCAGTTTCATATTGAAAATTCAGTGAAACAATGCCTTACAAAATCCATAGGATTATCATAAAGATTAAATTAAATAAGACAAGGTATAGGCAAGCATGTAATAGAGCCCTGGCACATAGCATTGACATGTATTTTTGATATCCAAAAGAGAGAGACTGTGGCAGTTTGTAATAAGCAAAGAAAACTTAAGGAATGTGCTATTGGTTTTACTCCTTTTTTTCAGAAGCCAGTTGTCCTAGACCAATTGCCAAAGGACGCGGGGAGCAGATGTCATGGTGACATTCGTGACTCAGGTGTGAACACAAGATAATTTCCCCTTGATGGGACTACTTTTCTACAAGAAAATTAAAAGGTAAGTAGAGAGATTATATATCACATACAGCAAGTGTAACATGAGGCAAAACATTGCAGAAACCACAAGAAAATAGCTACAGGGGTCACAACTTTTGTAAATTGTAATCCATGTTAACAAAAGCAGAGGATTTCTAGGATTATGTCGTTGCTATTATTATTAATTTTATGATGCTGGGGGTGGAACTCAGGGCTTCCTGCATGTTAAACAAATGCTCTACCACTGAGATCCATCCCTAATCCCCACTATTATTTATGAAAAAAAGTTTTTATTGTGTAAGTATATGCACGGAAATTCACTAGTTTGATAGGCTTTGACAAATAACCACAATAGTAGCTAAATGGCATAAAACTTTTCCATCACTCTAGAGTTCCTACATAAGACTTTGAAGACAGTCTTTTCTCCCACAAATTGGGCCCTGGGCTGCACAGATCTGAGGGCTCTCAGGTTGGTTTTGCCCTTTCTAGGGAAAGAAATCATAAAATATAGTTTTTGTGGCTAGTATCTTCTAATTAGCAATATTTTTCAGCTTTCTATAAATTTCTACCCCCCAAAGGCATTTTTAGGTATTTTTCCTTAATTGTTCTCCCCCTTGAGATTTTTATTACCACAGATATATCTGTGTGTCTAGTTTGTATTATATGTGTGCATGTATGAGTTATGTGTCTGTTCTGATATACAGTGAATACAATTATTACAGTAGAAAACACTATATTGTATGCATTTCTGATAGAAATACAGTGAATGTTTTTTTAAATTTTTAAATTATTACAGTAAAAGACTCTTTGACATTAATCCTTCTCAAAACTGTCTCTTACTTGGAACACACTTGCCCCATCCTGCTTGCCACTTTCTGAAGCAGCTCTGGAAGTCCTCTTCTGTGTCTTGGCTGCCTTGATGTCCTGAACTGATTCAAAATGTTTATCTCTCATGGTCATTTTTGCTTTGGGAAAGAGTCAGAAGTCACACTGTGCCAGAGTCTGTGAATGAGGTGGACAAGGTCACACTGTCCTGTTCCTATAAGCCCGCCTTTCCGTTGGATGGCACTCGGCAGCAGCATTCACTGTGTTTTTCATCACACCTCCTGAGGACACTCATGAAAAACGATGAAAGTTTTCCACTGTAACCCAGACCACACTAGACATGTGACGGCCATTCATCTTTGTCTTAAAAGAGATGAGAAGCCATTGGAGGGATTTAAATAGGAAGTGTGGTGTGCTTTATTTAAAGAAATTTTAAAAACTTGTAAATCTTTAATAATACATAATGAATTAGAATATGAAGCATGAGAGATTGATTATTTGGGAAGTGGACATTTCAGGAGTCCAGAGGAGAAATGACTTTTCAAACTATTAGAAGGTGAGGGAGAGGAACATTGGGAGACCTGCCATATTTTGTTTTTTGACCTGCCATATTTTCAATGGGGATCTGGAAAGAACTTAGCCAATGTCTTCTTTTCTGATGAAATTGTAATTACAATGAGAAATTCAGATAAACCTCCCTATTATTTGCTGCTGCCTTGATTTCACTGAGATTTTGCTGGGTTAACCAGAATCCTATGTTAATTAAGTATGAATACTCTTGAGTAATTTGCTAAAGAGTTAGAAAAACTTGGAGGATGAGATCATGACTAAGAAAGTGTTTTGCATCACTTCATCCATCCATTCCTCTTTCCATCCATCTTACAATATTTACCAGGAGATACTGTAGTACCAGCACTCACATTTCAGCTTCAGATGATCCCTGATACTCTGAAGATTTATGCAAATTGCTTTCTCAGAGATTAGAGTAGGTTTTTATTCTATTAAAGGTTACAAGTCGGGTGCTATGGATTGGATACCGTTGGAGTATGTGTTGGGCAGGGTTTCATGTGTTGAAATTTACTCTGCATAGTGAGGTACTGAAAGGGTAGAAATTTAAGCACCAACTGTGGTGCTTAAGGTGGAGTCTTTGGGAGGGGATTAGGATTAGGTAGTCCTTAGGGTAGAATCCTTAGACTGAGTCCTACTGGCTTTACAAAAAGAGACTGGTCAGAATAAAGCATTGGCTTACGTAGATCCTCCTGGTCTCTTGCCATGTCACTCTCTGTGATGTTCTGTGATTCTGCCAGCAGGAAGGCCTCCATCAAGTGTGAGCCAGAGTAAACCTTTCTTTATAAAGTTACCCAGTCTGGGTTATTTTGTAAATATTGACAGAAAATGGGCGAACATTAGGACTTACAGAGTTTTAGGTCTAGGGGTATGGAAATAAACAAAAGAAATACCTCATGTGTGTGTATGTGTATGTGGGGTGCTGGGGATTGAACCTAGGGCCTTCCAATTGAGCTACATCCAACCTTTTTTTTTGGGGGGGGGACAGGTTCTCTCTAAGTTGCTAAAATTGTCCAGGCTGGACTCAAACTTGGGATCCTCCTGCTTTATCCACTTGGAGTGCTGGGATTACAGCATGTACCACCACACGCAGTTATAATCTTCTGGTTCAAAGCACACGGAGTTGATGTCATGTGAACATATAAATTATGAAGCTGCATATCAGTACCTTGAAGGAGCTCTGAACGAGTGTGGAAGCTTGCTGGGTACACTGGTGATTCTGGTCTTCCAGGTGGTGTCTGAAGGATGGCTGGCCACAATGCCTCCAGGAATTTCACCTGCGACCCTATCCTGACGCCCCATCTAACCAGACTCTACTTCGTCGTGCTCATTGGGGGACTGGGGGGTGTCATCTCCATCCTATTCTTGCTTGTGAAGATGAACACTCGATCTGTAACCACCACGGCTGTCATTAACTTGGTGGTGGTCCATGGGGTGTTCCTGCTGACTGTGCCTTTCCGCTTGTCCTACCTCATCCAGAAAACATGGACATTTGGCCTGTCTTTCTGCAGACTTGTGAGTGCCATGTTGCATATCCACATGTATCTTACCTTCCTTTTCTACGTGGTCATTCTGGTCATCCGGTACCTTATCTTTTTCAAGCACAAAGACAAAGTGGAATTCTACAGGAAATTTCATGCTGTTGCAGCCAGCGCTGGCATGTGGCTGTTGGTGATTGTCATTGTTATTCCTGTGGTCTCTTCTCATTACGGAAATAAGGGGGATTACAATGACAAGCACTGCTTTAAATTCCATGAAGAACTGGTCTATATGTACGTGCAAGTCATCAACTACATGATAGTCATCCTCGTCATAGCCACCGCGGTGATGCTCTTGGTCCTTCAGATCTTCATCATTATGTTGATGATGAGGAAGCTCCGCCACTCCTTCCTCTCCCACCAGGAATTCTGGGCTCAACTGAAGAACTTATTTTTCATAGGCATCATTCTTACTTGCTTTCTCCCCTACCAGTTCTTCAGGATCTATTACTTACATGTTGTGGCTCAATCCAAGGAATGTAACAACAATTTTGCATTTTACAATGAAATCTTTTTGAGTGTAACTGCAATTAGCTGCTGTGATTTGCTGCTCTTTGTTGTTGGGGGAAGCCGTTGGTTTAAGCAGAAGACAATTGACCTGTGGAATTGCCTGTTGTGCCATTAGCCATGAACTGCAGTACTGATTTCTTTACATTGGGAGGGAAAAGGGGGAGGGAAGGTAAGAATGATATTTCATCACTTGATCAAGGCTGAACTGAAAGACTAGAATGTTAGAGCAATCCTTCCAATCTTAGTCTGACCTTTGTGGATTCTGAAAGCTGCCATTCATCCATCAGTGACATTGTTTTCCAATATACAATGTCTGCTTGGTCCATCTATGCAGTTTAGATCTAATGGTGCTACAGTTGTCTTAGCTCTCTGATTTGTACTTTGAACCTTGGTCTTTTCTTAGGCTTCCCATTGGACTCAGCTGTTCAGTTCACTTCACTTTGTTTTACGCAGGTTAGTCCTGTTCGTAATCCAGATCCAAAGACACAAACTCTACTTGACTCACTAGAAAAGATGCCCTGTTCCACTCATACCCTGTGGGAACAATCCCATCCCAAAACAAACAAAACAAAACACATCAAGGGAGAGAATAATAGGACACTTTTCTAGATTATTACAACTTTGGTGAGAACTCAAGTATCTAAAAATCAGAGAAACTCAAGCCATGGACATGTGCTGTAACAAGATTTTCTAGATATCTCTTTTGAAGGTCAAAGTTAAAGACCTGAAGATCAACGGTTTAACATCATGAATTTCACTGTTTCTCCAAAAATCATTCACAGGTTTACAAAACATATCTCAATAATTATGAATCTGTAACTTTGAGGATATCTCTGACCAATGTACTTCTAGGAATTAAAATGAATTCCCAATGAAGGGATTAAATTTTTTCCTTTTCCCTTTTTTAATGTCTTGGGGTAAAATTAAGATTTTCTTTAAAGTTAGGTTTTCTTTAAAGACAGAAAGTTTGTACTGAAATCTTTAGAGTTCCAGTCCAGTCTTAAAGATACATTTTTAAAAAATAAATGACAACTATGTTCTTAACAAAAGAACTTAGGAGAAATATACAAAGTAAGCATTAATTTCAACTCTATTGGATGAGGCTTTATTGAAAGATTTTCTGACTATTTGAGGAATGGATGAATTAATGCACTCAAAAGTAATAAAGCTGTAATCCTTTAAACTATGAAATAAAATGGGGTTTTCAAATTCTGAGCAGCATTTTGCAACTTTATTAATAACACAACATGTAGCATATTAAACTGATTTTACTTCAAGAATGTCTATTAATGGCTATATTGATACACATGCTTGTGTGATTTTCTTTTGCATTTTTTTAACCCTACTGCCCATATTTATATTTGCCCTAAAAATTTCATAATCTTTTAGAACTTTCAAAAGAAATCATTTCTTTTTTTTTTTTTTTAAACCTGGGATCAGATCAAACTTGGGACCTTGCATTTGTGAGACAGGCAGCGAAACAACCGAGCTAAATCCCCTGCCCCCATTTCATATCTAATGCTCCAGAAAACCAGAAGAAGTGAGCAATATAAACAGAAGAACCAAATAAATTAAAAGTATTTTTCCCCAGCTAAGTATGTCCGAGATTTTAAAGGTCTTTCTTAATTTGTTATCATTCCATGAATGCTTCAGAGAAGAGAGCTGTACCCCTGTGAGCTTCTCTGACTGCTAAAGTAGCTAATTCTGAAAAAGAAAAACTAGCAACAACTGCCAACATGACTTGTCACCCAATTTTTTCAAATTTTCTCTTTTTTTCTATTTTGTTTTTGTTTTTTAACTTGTCTTTCTTGCCCATTCATTTTCTTAGTTTTTTTTTTCTTACTTAAGCCGATACATTTGTAAGTCAAGTACTAAGACCTAACATCATTTTAAGAAAATGTTTAACACCTATAAAATATGTAAGAAAATAAAGATGTATTGTGAAATACTGAAAGTAATTGCTTTTGAGAGTTTCATTAACTTGCTTTTCTTATATTACTACTATGATAATATCTTTTTTATCCTGTAGATTGTGTTATGGTCTCTTGCAGATTTTAGATATATTGAGGCCAGGCATTTATGTTCTTCTCTATGTTATAATGTTATAATAAAAGATCTATAAGAAATATTACCCCAACATAGAAATGCAACATTGCACAATTTCAAATATCTTCTCAGTATTTACAGAATAAATAGAAAAGTATCAAGTTGCCTATTTTTTGTCTTTAACTGCTATAGAAATGAATCTCACACAGGAAAAGGAGCAGGAGTAGCCTCAAGGGCCATCTTTAGCTGTCACTATTGTGCTAGAGGACCACTAGCATTTGGTACTTGCTCACTTGCACACAAAAATGTACTATATGGTCTTGCTATGTATTTGAAAGATCTGGATTCATGGAGTGAAACATAATGCAAGTATTAATGAGGACAGTTCATTAGGTTTTATTCAACTTGGGGGTATGGTTGAAGTTTTTTTTTTTTTTAAATCTCCACAAATATATATATTATTGATATTGAGGAAAGACTTTATTCTGATTCTCTCAGAATTTTACCTAGTGGTTCATTACATTGGAACATTGCATGGTTCATAGCAATACCATCTTTAATAGTAAAATACAGCACAACACAATTGGAAGAAATAACCAGAGGGGCATTATTCGTAGGTCCCAACATGTGACTGCATCGATTTTTTTCTCTGTTACAGCTTATGCTGTAGCACACACTGATGTATCTATTATTTTATTGTAAATAATTTTGCTAAGTGTGGTGGTTTATGCCTATAATCCCAGCTCTCTGGGGGACTGAGGCTTAATGACTTAGCAAGATTGTGTCTCAAAATAAAATGTAGAAAAAGGCTAGGAATGTAGTTCAGTATGAAGGCATGGGATTCAGTCCCCAGCACAGAAAAAAAACACTTTTATTAATAATGTATATTACAGGTAGGAATTATATAAATGGTATATATAATCATAGTTTACATTATTAGTACAGGAAAATTATGACATTTATTTTAGAATTACAATTTTTTGTGAATTTCATTTTAGAACAGTAAAATGACAAAATAATAATATTTGTGACAAAACACAGTGGGTCTGAGAAGATTGAAGACAACTGAGTCACCACAGAGACTTCAGAAAGGAGATTTACCAATTTTAACATTTTGAACAGGAAAAATGTCTCATGTTTTGAGACTGCTTACCTCAACTTGATTCAATTCTAAATTATTTCTTTTGTTTCTGTAGTAATTAAGTGCAATTTTTAAGAAAATGCAAAGAAATAGATATGTGTATTTTCTTTTAAAAAAAAGACATTCTCTGTGTGCCTCACAATTCTCAGATTGCCTCATTCTCAATATCTGTCAGATTCTGAACCCAGAGATAATGATAGTTTTGGAGGGCTAGGCAGAAATATTGCTTCAAGCACCCTTAAAATGTACTTTTCTCAGCTGCTGTTCATTTCTTAATTGTCTCGTGAAAAGGTCATTGAGTCCCCTCTTTTGTCCTCAACTTTATATAAAATAGGGGAGAAAAGGACTCTTTGTACTTGTGGTGAAATGAGCTCTGTGTGGATGGATGCAAGAAGTGGAGAAGCTCCTTCCTGCCATCTTGAATCACACTCTGCGGAGTCACAGCCAAAACACATTAGAAAGGTACATGTACACCCATGTTGATGGCCGCACAGTTCACAGTAGTTAAGTCATGGGAAGAACCTGTATGTCCTCCAACGGATGAGTGGATAAAGAAAATGTGGTATCTGTACATACTAGGGTACTACTCAACTCTAAAGGACAAATTTGAAACGTTTGTAGAAAAATGGATACATCTGGAAAATATAATGTTCAGTGAAATAAGTCAGACACACAAGCTTAAATACTATATGGTATCTCTCACTTGAGTACAAAGGAAGAAAGAGCAAAATAGAGGAGTAAAAGAAGGAAACAGGAAGACAGATATCTGCAAACAGGAAAGGGTCCAGGAGACTGAGGGCCCGGGGTGGGAAAAGGGAAGGAAAAATGAAAAGATTTAAGATGTGTCACTTACATGTACCAAATACCCACAGTGAACGTAACCATTCTATGTTCTAAATGTGAACGAATGATGAAAATAATAATAACAACAACAACAATAATAATAATAACAATAAATGAGGACAGGAGAGGAAGGTGGGTGGGGAGAGGAAAGGGATTAAAAAGGATCAAGATGTGTTATGTACATATACCTACTCCTTAAAATGAATGTAAACCTCATGTACAGTAAACATGTATTAAAATAATTTTTTAATGCAAAATGCCACAGCATTGGGAAAAAAACATGCATTTGTAGCCTGGGAGTGTCACGCAGTGGTACAGTGCTAGTCTAGTGTGATAGAGGCCTTGGGTTTGAATGCGAGTATTATAGATAGCTAAGCTATTTAGAAATATTATAGGCAGTCAGGTAGGGCAAGGTCCTCAAGAAAGTCAAGACAAAGGTGGCTGGAGATGCATCTGTTGGAGACCAGGCCTCAAGATAAAGATGAAATGACCAGGAGTGCATACGTCCCCAAAGCAATAACACCTGGCCTAATGAAGTCTACATAGACATCAGTCCCCCTGGACGGTGACCAAGATCTTCAGTCCCATCTCTTCCCAGAAAAAGTCTTTGTTTTTTCCATGCACACTTGTTACATGACTTGTTCCCCCACTGCATTACCATTACCTAAGCGACTATACTTGTAAACTTATTGGTCGATCATGGCTTTAACGTTTGTTGTACCCACATGGTTTTTGCTCTATAAAACTTCCCTGTAAAGTGGGGTCCCTGCCTATCAATTCGGGTTCCCTCCTGCCTCTCAGAGCTATTCTCTCAATAAACATTTCCTGCTCTTTACCTCCATTTTTCCTAGAATTCATTCTATGATTCTAGAGAGCATAAACTTTGTGTACCAGGCATCTCAGCCTGGGAATTATATTTCCTTTGTATCATTTAGAGGTCATATTTCATCTCCTGATAACATTTCCTATATCACTAGCACCTCAAAACATTACATTCCTAGGTTGCAGTGTTGGTGCTTGAGAAGGAGACCATCAGGCCTGTCCATTCCTGGTTATCAGCTTTTGGATGTGAGGTCAGTGGGATGGACACCTGTGATATTATCATAGCTTGGATTGGATAGATTTTGCCAACTTACCTCCAAAAAGATGGGGCCTAGGACATGGACTCCCCTATCTTTTGGGACTGGTA